GCCGATCGATCGGCACACCTCTACTTTTCGTGTAACATCTCAAGAAAGTTGTATGAAAAGTTAATTTATTCTAGTTGTTAAAAATCAAGCAGTGGAACATGCACAGTAAAGATGTATTACACACGGTGATGTATTTTATTATTATCCCAGAGATTTATAGTGGGCAAAATTTCTAAAGAGCAAGACATTTGAAAAAAGATGCAGATTCCAATTAAGCAAATGTTAATGGAAAATATTATGTACAATTCAAAGTGTTTTTTATATGATTAATAGCTTTTTCTTTTGCTTTAAAGTATTATGTATCTTCCAGGCACATTCTGCCATTTTATAGTACAACCAAGAAGTTATTACAACCAAACAATTTCACGTTGTACAAGGTTTCCCCCAGAAAACTTGCTAAGCCCGGTGGTTGGGCGCTAGGCCAATCATTCATCGAGTGGCCTGCCATGTTTTTGAGTTAAAAAATGTTTAAAGTTGACAGGAAATTTGAAAATATTACTTGATAATTATGTGTTATTGAAAGATTGGAAGATTAATATCTGAACATTAACTATAAAGCATTAAAAAATGCAAAAAGTTTAAAAAGACTTAAAAGACTATGCAATCTGTAGCCTTTTGGGGGTACAAGTAAAGCCTGGTGGCCCACCAGGCTTATAATATACTGAGGGAAACCCTGTTGTAATTTAATGCCATGAAATTGGGCCTCTATCTCTTTAAAAACTCCTGTTCCTTCTGAACCTTCGCCTTCAGGAAATCATCACAGCATCTCTCCTCTATTAACCCCTTAATGTTTTTACCAGTGTTGCAGTGAGATGTCGCTCATAACACACCATGTTTGTTCAACCTAAGCTCATACTGCCTCTTTCTTTTTTTTTTTTTTTTTTTCCAGTAAAACCACATACATCCTGCAAGGGCAATTTCCACTTAACACCAGACTTGGGATCACCTAGTCATTGAATTAAGGCTAAATACAACAAACTTATTTGATAAAAACATTATCCTTATATTGTTTCTGCTAGCTATATGTAAGACATGCAAAAATCTTTTTATATTTTAAGATTCCTTGTCTAGACATCTATGTCCATTAAGATATTGCTCGTTTAGTTTATTTTTGGGACATTAACAAGGAAAAAATAAGAACTGGTAAAGTTGTTAAACCTTTCAATAAAAAAGAACAGAAAAGAAAATTATATTTGTGGCCCACGAGTTCTTTCAACAGTATGATTTTGGCCCATATAGCACTAAGGACTCTACAACTTTCACTACCACAGGTTTTTCTTCCACTAAACTTTCCAGCAATAGGCTTTGTCACAGCACTTTGTGAACAGCCAGCTGCTTTAGTGGTTATTCTTTGTGCCACACCCTACTTGTTGAGGGCATTGACTACCGTCTACTTGACAACTGACAATTTAGAAGATGATTGTGTCGAGCATAACAGCATTTCTATTAGTCGTTTTTATCTTGTAATTCCAGTGAAACTAAATGTTGGGTTTTCATGTGCTGTAGGATATAATTATCCAAATTAAAATAAAATAAAATATGTCTCACTGTGTGTAATGAATCAGGAGAAGTTTAGCTTTTTCAATCAAAATAACTAAATTAGCTGAGATTATTTCATAATAATCTAATTTACTGAAATGTTGATGAATATTTAGAAACGTTCCACATTTTTGGGATCTCTCACACACTTTGCTACTTCTCAAATTACATCAGAGACTTTAGTGTCCCCAAAAAAAGCCCATCCATACTTAAAGCTTTCTTTAAAGTAGGCGCTAATGCTTAGATGCAGTGTGGCATGTTGTATAAATGCAGCAATCGAAAACAGCACCACAGGGGTCGACTGAGATAGCTATCTGCACAGGGGTCAGAAGAAAAGGGTAGTGTGTGTTATGTAAGTGTCTCCCTGCTCCCGCTACCCTCTATGCATAATAAATGCCCTAGACATGCTTTGTGTGTTCAATTTGAATACAAACTAACACTGTTTCTCTTAAATGGCTTCCCAGGCTGAGCCCTAATTCAGTCTATGTAAAAGCATTCTGCCATTGTTTTGTTTTCAATTTGGATCAAAGCCACGAAGGCAACCGTAAGAGACACTTAGATATTCAGGTCTAGCACCTTGTTAAAGGAACAGATGCATAATGTTATTGTACAAATGTGTGCAGAAAAAGAAAGTCAATTTATTTGGTTTTGGTAGATGTGGATCTGATTATGTTGAGGATGTCATGTTTTAATTTGCTTTGTCTTTTTAATGAATAAAGCACTGAAATACTGGTGCAGAAGATAACTGAATATTTCAGAAAAATCTTTCACTTGCAGATACAAGAAGTTAACTTGGCATAGATGTTCAATGGGTCTTCCTTTTTTCAAAACAAAAGAAAAGAAAAAAAAGCTACTGAAAAATTCAAGATGGCCACCATTTTACAGGATGGTCATAGGGATCGTGTATGTTGTACTAAATGTGCCAGTGATTATCACAGATGATTACATTTGTTAAATCATGCTTAATTTGACCCATTGATCACTCATGTCTTGTAATAATTTTTTAAGAGTGCCGCCATGGTCGTCATGGAAAATACATGTTTGCACTAAAATCACTAAATAGATGAATGTGTTTGGTGACAAATCATAACCTACATATTTTGAGCCAAAAATCATTTGTATTTTGTTGATTTGCAGTTATCTTTTTCTGGTGGACATTTTTCAGTGGCCATTGTGGTTATAATGTATACTTTTGTATTAAAATCAGCAGTAGTTATTGCCATTGCTGGCCAAATAGTTAGGTTGACTAACCATAAATTCACTAAGCAAGAATCTTAGCTCTGCTGCCGCTAAACCACTAAGCATATTTAAAAAATCAGCAGAAGTTGGCGCTAACCAAGACGATTGTAAGTCTGTCACACATTGTCTCTGTCTAGTTGACGACTGGTGTGAGATTCACAAAGAGCAAAGTCCTCAATTGCTGATTCTTCTACATATTACTTTAAAGTTGCCTGAATAAGAAAACATGATTTGACAGTTCATCCAAGTCATGAAAATGAGTAACATTTTATGGCAATAATTGGCTTAAAAAGCTCAAAATGGCGGCCATCATCGTAAAATTCAAGTGGCTAATGGGACTTTTTACAGTAATATGCTACACTACGGCTCTTTGGAAGCAGAAACCTTATTGTCTGGCAGTTTTAGTACCAAACGATAAAAACAGTCACAACAACATCTGCTGTAACAGTCACGATTTCAAATGGTAGGTGACTTGATACATCCCTGAAAACGGAGTAAATACTAGATGTACACATCGCTGCCTCATAACATATCTGATAACGAATAATGTCTGGAAATGGAGAAATAAAAGAAAAATTGTCTTAAATGAGGATGATGTAACAAAAAACATATATGTCAGCCAATGTGTAAAAGTGCAAGCGTGGAGCTCCCCGTCTGCAACTGTGCATCAGCATGTTTCACAAGTTAGTAGCTGCCATGTGAAAAGCTCTAGATGGTTCTTAATGCCGTCTTCCATCTATTATTTACCAGCTCCCCTGCCTTGTCATCAGCATCCCCATGTTTCCACGTCTTTATCGAGCGCTGTTCACCTCCTTCCTTAAGTTAATGTCCACTCTCTTTATTAAAGGCTGGCTTACTTTTATTTTTCCATTTCAGGTTACAAACATCTTTCTATAAAATTGTTTAAAGTCACAATGCAATATAGCCATTAATGAAATCCTATTGTTTTTTTGTTGTTGTTGTTTTCCCCCTTACACCAAACCTTTTTCTGCTACCATTTAGAGTCCAGATGGAAATGTAGTAGTAAGGAGCGATGCTCGTGTGTCCTCCCTCACTCTGAAGTATGTCAAGTATACAGATGCCGGTCAGTATCTCTGCAAAGCTCGCAGTGCCATCGGAGAGGATGAACAGACCGCTTATCTGGAGGTCCGCTGTGAGTATTGCATTGTCTTCAGCTTAGCTGGAAAATAAGTCTGGTTCCTGAGAGTCAGGTTTAGGTGAACCTACAGTCACAATGGGCTGTAGGTTGTGAATGTTTTGGGCTTTTAATTATTTATTTGAGTCATTATTTTTCAAATTTGGCATGATTAGACAATCAACCCTAAGGAAAAAAGTAAAGCATATGGAGAACAAATTTTAAACTATTGGGGAACCATCTGTAATTTACACAGGGTCAAAATTCTGCATACAGGCTGACTAGTATGTGAGAACACGTTCCTTAGTATCCAACCCAACCCAAATCCGTAGGCAATGTGTCCCAATCCAGCCTGACTAATTAACTTTACTTATAGACCTATGCCTACTTTTTTTAAATTACGATTTTACTGCTTCTGATTGTAGACCATTTAGATAAGCAGTGTCCCATATTTAGCTTGTGATTAACATCTTCCAGTTCCATCTTCTCGTTTGTTGTAACCTCAGGGTGAGTCAAGTTCAGATACTCAAGTGCAAATCATCTGGCATGTGTGATTTGCAGGATCCCATCTCCTCTGCTGCTCAGACAGGGCAGGGCAGGGCAGAGCTGTGTGTGCATGCAGTTTACTGTGCTTGTTACAATCTGATTAACTTCTGCACCCTCTTTACTGTGTTTATTTCCTCAACAAGTTAAGCTATCTACTCTAGACTATAGACAGATTAAAACAACTTTATATTGTACATTATCATTTGGTTTTCTCTGTGCTGTATGGATCGCAGGCAAGCAAATAACACTGACCCAACCCGGCCTGAACTTTTTGTCTCGTTTGAGTTCGGCTCAGGCCATAAATCTAAACTATATTCCTTAGTAACTTCCACCTTGACTGCAACATTTTTGTAGCTATCTGCAAGTTTCAAGGTGAATATAGAGTTTAGTTAATTGGTTGTTATCCTGCCGCAGGATAACAACCACAATTTGCACACGTTCTGCAGGGTTGAGGTCAGGGTCATTGCAGAAGCCTGTCTGCAATCTGTATCCTTTCCTGCCAGTTTTGACTTCCATTTGTGATCATTGTTCTATTCCGATTTGTTATAAAACCAAAGTGTGTCTAAGTTTCAACCAGGTAGCTGTTCATTTGACTTGAAGAACTTAGAGGTACTCCTTGTTCTTTATTGCTCCATCCTCTGGCAATGCTGCACCGCTGAGCTCGACAGTTGGTACATAGCTCTTAGGTTTTAAAGCCTCAACTTGACTGCTGCAAACATACTTTTTGGTTCGTACAGATAAAACAAGTTTGTGTCTGATCATAGACCTTTCTGAAACTCGGTTGTCGTTGAAGGACGTAAACTTTGAGTAGGGGCTTCTGTTTTGTTTGGGATCCTCTCAATTCTTGGGCAATACTTTGACTTAACTGGGTGTTGCAAAAGGACTGGGATCCCAAATACTTATAAAAACTGAAACTAGAACGGATAAAGGAAGTCAAGGGTATGCCGAAGGAGTATGCATGAATGGTGCCTCTCTGCAGCAAACAAACCAACTAATTTAAATCAATTCTGCTCAGAAATGTGGTGAAACATAAATATTCACACTACAAAATTAAATAAATCATTAAAAGCCCCACAATGAATGTGTATGAATTTCCAACCAGAACTATGAACAAGTTAAAAAATATTTTCAGCTGTTTGAAAGAGTTTTCTGAATCACATTCTCAACTCCTAGATACGCCTAAGATCCACGGAACAGTGGCGGTTTACACGTGGGAGGGAAACCCGGTCAACATCAGCTGCGAGGTCAAGGCTTTCCCCACAGATGTGTCAATTGTTTGGCTCAGAGATGGACTGCAGCTTCCAAACTCAAACACCACCAACATCAAAATCTTCAGAACTCCTTTATCCAGTTACCTACAGGTACTGACTTTAAAGTACACTTTGCAACGTAAACATACATAATGCATGCATGAAGTTTTCTCCATGTGCACAGACACATCCCAGACCCCCCATCACCTTGTGTCATCAAGATTTCATGAGCATAGACTAAGAAGTGAGGGGGATTTTCTTCTAGCCTCATTGTCGGGGGTGGGGGGATCTATGAATAATTCAGCAGCATGAAGGCTCACGGCAACACATGAAAATAGGCTGTTCTGATGGACAAACACAAAAGTCACCTCCATGGTGATTGACACATAAGTTTGTTCATCTGTTTAGCCATGCTTCCCTTCATATGTTCACTGCTCTATTTTCTTCTCCCCTCCAGATTACACCAGAGTCTGAAAATGATTTTGGAAGCTATAACTGCACCGCCTCAAACGAGATGGGCACCGAGTCCAAGGAGTTCCTGCTCATTCAGGCCGGTCAGTGATGAGGATGTGGTTTAAATCTCACTCTTGTTTACAGCATTTGGCCTATTCAGTAATAGCTGTTAAATTTGTACAGGGTGTACGGACATCCGTAAAATGTCTTAAAAGTGTTTGTGTGTGTGTAAAATTAAGACCTTAAAATGTCTTAAATTCATTAAAAATGGGTCTTTAATTTGTTAGTCACAGGTCTTAAACTTTGTAGAGGCAGGACTGTTTAATGTAGTTTTCTTTTTTCGTGGTACTTTTCTATTAGGCAAAAGTTTAAGTTGTTTGGAAACATCTTCATTGAGTTCTGTGACTTGAGGAGGTTGAGGCTACTGGTAACTAGCCGCTAAACTACCCTGGCTAGCTAGCTAGCTAGCTAGCATTTTTGCCTCTATCAAATTTATTAGCAGTTGGCTGGATGATGTTCATTTTTGCAACTGGCTGATTTCTACTGCCAACCAATTTGAGATAAAGTGATAAAACAAAACTTTTAAGCTTGGCACTATGGGGGTTAAAGCTGTAGAGAGCAAAATCTGCAGTATGAGAAGCACAAAGCTGAGTTGATAGGTTTTAAGTCTTACATTTGACTTGCTGAAACGTGCAGATGCGATTCAGTACCATTGTAGCAGAATTAAACTTAAGGGTACATTCACACTATCCCTAGTAATCAAGCTAGTTAGCCTACAAACCTAGGTCTTGGATTGGTTGCTGTGAACTCTGGTGCGGTTTGAATGCATATGTGAATGCTAAGCGGACCGGAGAGCACTCCAAAAGCACGAGGAGTAAATGCAACCAAAACAAATGTCCAGCGCTAGTGGGAGAGAAGGCTTGTGGTCTTTCATCAAAGAAAGAGAAATCCTACAACCGTTAAAATTTGACGGCACTTCATTTTTGTCTACATTTCATGAAGAAGGAAGTTCCACTCAGTGTCCTCTTCAGACGTTTTTGTGCCATTTTTTTCAGTGGTTCTTGGTTCAGGGCCTCTAGAGGCGAGAGGATGAACATGTTTTTCATAGGGTTTGGTTGGTTTGACACAATGCAGTGCGAAAAACCGCACCAGCTGAAAATATAACACATGTTGCAATTTTGGACCAAAAATCAAACAGTCTACCGGACTATCAGGTGTGAAAGCAACCTAAAACACAGAGTAGTGCTTTAGATGTTGTCTTGCTCTGGGCTGTAAAACAGATTTTACACTCCTTTTTAAAATATATTTTGCAGTAACAGCCAGCATGAGATTACACAAAGCAGCGGTGTTTGTTTAGATAGAAGATAACTTTAGATAAAAAGACATCAGCTCAACTATCAGCAACGGTTATCTGTGTCTTGTATCAAAGCCCTCGGTGCAGTGTAAAATAAACCTTTGCTGTGTTTTTACTTTGCATCTGCATAATTCAGCTGAATGCTTTCTTGAGAAAAGTACAAGTTAATAATGTTACACCTTCATATGAATGCATCCGTCTTCATAAGACAAGAGGAAAGGAGAAAATACAGGTTATAAGCCACCATCTGAAGTGACTAGAGAAAAAAAAGCAGCATTTTTCACTTCAGGCAGAAACCTGTGCAACCACAGTAATTACAGTGTTCCTTTTTACTACCCAGATCAAAGTGATGCAGGAAAGAATGGAGCTCGCTTTAGAGTGTAGGAATCCCGCAAAGCCACCAGAACTCGGATATTACTGTTTCAATTAGTTAAACACTTTTAATAATGTAATTTTTCCCAAAATGGATCAAGAAGTGGGTGGAGAACAATTATTTTTTTATGCTGGTAAATTTAACAAAGCATGATTGAAAGTCAGAATGCGTTTTCAGCTCCTTCTGCACCTCGCAGCCTACATGGTTTTTATAGGAAGGGTAAAATAAATCTTTATTTTACTAGTATCAGTATATTTCTGAACCCTTCTGTTCATAGTTTAAATGTTTTCATATTTCTGAAACACTGAATTATCTGTGAGATAAAGGGTTTAAATCCATATTCAATTTTAGTTTAAGCTCTTTCAAAGGTTTTTAGGTCTGTTTAATGCTTTCTTATTTTAATTTATTATTTATATTTTTTTACAGTTTTGCTTTTATATTTTACATCAAAAGACATGTTTTCATTTTGCTTCTTTCTCCAGGAACTTATTTTTCTAGAGTTCTAGCCTTTCCCTGACTGTGTGTGTTTTTACTGTGCTCTTTATGTAAATTAAGGCTGCTTACCAGTCCTGTAGCAGTGTTTATGCTTCCAACAGATAAATAATAAATCTACCAGGTGCACTATGACCACTACTGCTCAACCCTCCCTGCAAATGAGGTTTATTGTCTAAATACTAGCAGCTGGTTTAGTTTAGTTTAAAACTAAACTGCTGGTATTAGTAGTTGTGCAAAGAGCAATTTACATTTTGATTTAGTGCATATTAATCAGCATTTCTAGATTAAAGAGTCTTGTAAAAATGTCAGATTTTAGCCTTTTGTAATGGCAGGTTTATGGTGAAAAGAAAAAAAAAAGACGCATACACACACAGACAAACACAAAATTTAATTGATTAAAATCTTTTAACTGTGGTGGAGCCAGCCCATGAAGCAATTTGTATACAAATATGTCATCTGAATAGATTATAAAACTATCCCAATGCTTGCTTAATATTTTTACAATGATAATATGGATTTTTTTTATTTTATTTTTTAGTAAGATCCATAGCTTTAAACCTATAAATCACTAATTAATTCACTTGTGCAACTGTTATGTATTATGAGATGCATTAAGAGTTCAATGTCTCACTTTGAAAGGAACAAGCGGCCATAAGAATGGTTTTTGTGAAATTTTAAACTTTCTGTAGTTAAACTGACCTAATTTTTTTTTTTTTTTTTTTTTTTTACAGAGGTTCCGTCATCGTTGGTCATTGATGAAGTGAGGCCTTTCTCCACCACCGCTCTGATCCAGTTTGGAGAGCCTGAATCTACTGGAGGCGTTCCTGTTCTCAAGTACAGAGCTGAATGGAGGATGCAGGGCAGGAGCAGCTGGACGCAGAAAGTCTACGAGGTCCAAGACGGTAAATGCACATATAAAAACTAAACTGCTGGTATTAGTAGTTGTGCAAAATTCACTTAAAAGTTCAACAAAAGATTTAGTTATTTTTCAATGAATGTTAGATAAAACCTTTTTTTTTATTATTTTGGTTGGAATTGATATAAAATGTCAGAAATATAAGTGCAAATATAGAAATCAATATTCATACATTGTTTTGTATATAAATGCTAGATAAATTTTAATAATGTAGGAAAATGTTATGTTAATGCTAAACTGCCATTAACTAAAAAACACTTACTTGGGCCAAAATTACCATTATTTACAGTTAAGAATAAATATTTTAAATCAAATAAATTCAAATAAAACTGTAAAAGATTTGGTACATGAAACTGGCATAAGTTAAATGAATAACACTTCTTTATTTAAACGTTTACAAGGATTAAAATACGTACATTTTTAAATGTTAGTCAATGATTATGTATTGTACTTGTAACCATCTATAATTATTTCTGTATAGTTTTAAATTACTTCAATTTTTATGGCTTATGGAATTAGAAAACTGTATACATTTATATGAAAAAATTGAATTATTCCTTACAGTTGTAATTAGATTATCGAGTTTGTAATTAATTATTGGACAAACTGTTTCTTTGTTGGATCGTGGCACACTTGGCTGTCAATACAAACTGTGACGTTGACAAAATAATTGAACACGGCTGCTGCTCTTGTTTCCCTGTATGCCGAGTTTCGGTACATCTCTAAATGGATTAATCAGTTGTCTAAACATTGTTTGGGCGAAATGAGAATCCAGCTAATCAGCGTTTGCGTGTTCGCCTATTAATTATCCATGTATTGTTGGAACGGGGGGGGGGAATTCGTTTATTGTTGTGCTCAGCAAAACGATCAAGGTGCTCTCAACAGAAACTGCGCTGTCTCTGATATTGTAACAGACTTCGACAACGAGGTGACGATAACGGGCCTGAAACCGGAGAGCCGCTACGAGGTGAAGCTGTCGGCCATTAACGGCAAGGGCGAAGGAGAGAGCAGCCCCACGGAGCGGTTCAAGACCGAGCCTGTCCGTAAGTGCACAGTTGACAGCGCAGTGTGAAGCTTTTATCCTCCTTCATTTCTTTCATCACAAACATATTACCTGCAGAGGATTTCTGTAAACACATTATCGGCTGGTTGCCTGAGATGTTTGGACAGTTTCACAAAAACAGAGTGACTTCAGTCCTTTCTGCTGACCGATTTTGCTTCTCTACTGGGAGATGTTTGAATTCATGAAGCAGTTATTTTAAAAGCCACCTACAGATATTTTTTACTCCTATAATTACATGCCCACTTTGTTACAAAGTATAGATATAATTTTTACAGCACTCTCATGTTAATTATGTTGTAATTTACTGAAAAAATAGAAGGTTTAATTTCTTACTCCCTAATTGCAGTGAGGAATTACAGTATCACCAGCAGCATGATATGGATATGAATGAGTCTTTTGCCATCACAACAGCTCTTACTAATCAGGGGAAGTTGTACTAAAGTCAAACATTATATCTTAGTATCTCAGTTCAAAAAGTCAAACTCCTAATTTATAGAATTATCACACACAGTAATGCATTTCAAATGTGTATTTGTAGTTATTTGAATGACTACAAATGTAACCTCATTTTCTTTGCACCTTCCACAGTGGCTCTCAATAACTTTGGCTGAAAATGAAATGGCGGTTTTAAAAAAAGTAAACTATAGTAGATTTTTACCTAAAATTATTAGTTGTGTGACATTAGCGGCTCTAAATAAGTTTTATTTGGCTGGCCTCAGAGGAATAATGGCTTTTTAGGATGTAAAGGTCACAGACTCCTGGGATAGTACAATTAAAAAAGTGTTTAATTCTGACCATTTATTTTTTAGCAAACATATTAAAGAGAAATACTGCTGATTTCAGTTGGTCACCAACACACTCCACAGAAAAGATGAGCTACAAAAGCTCCTTGCTAAAGAAGCTGGCCTGTCCAAAATACTGAAAGTACCAGTACCAATATTCCCTTTGGGAACCTATGAAGTATTGCCAAGAAGAAAATCAGAGACACCACAACAGTCAACAGATACAACTATGAGAGGAGTGTGGGGTTTTTTAGCACCTCAGATGTGCCATAGGCTGATCTGCTCCACCTTGCTTTGATGTAATAATTCATGCAAAAAGTTCCTTGACTGCATATCGAGTGCACACTTATAAAGGGGCAGTATTGTGTTTTTTCTGTGCACATAGTACCATCTTGTAGCACAAATCAAGTAACTATCTTAACAAGGGCTGTAGCGACACACTAATCTCACGATATGTGATATTCTGCTCACAATATGATATATATCACGATATTCAGCAAACGGTATGATTCAATACATTTTTAAGATTTTCTGAAAGATTTTAGAGGGACAGAATGTGTTTGGTGACATTTTGTGACTGTTCCATAGACTTGGATTAAATTCATTGAACTGATGGCATAATACTGGTTTAATAAATGCTTTTGTTATAAATTCTTTTATAGATTTGCTTTGTTTGAATGTTAATTTTGTAGCTTTGTGTATTTAGTTATGCAGAAAAGGAATATTTTTGTCTTATCCACTTTTATTTATTTATATTTTATTTATTTCATTTCATTATTTATTATTAATTGTAACTGTTTCATTACATGTCATTTTTACAGTACATGTGCAAGTTGGAACACGAAGGATTTGAGTAGGATGTAATGTGTCGATACTCGCAGCATCGATAAAACAACTTTGTTAAAAAATGCTATATATCAAATTGAACTTAAAAGAAACTTTTCTTCATAATTTAAAGCTTTGAAATTGGGTCTCTGTTGCTTTAAAACCTCCTTTCTGAAACCTCTGCCTTCAAGAAGTCATCACAACACCACTCCTCTATTAACCATCCAACAACATTGTGAGCTCATATGATGAACTCAGCTGATGTGCAGTTCCACAAGGTGTTTGCTAATTGCTGCTGGCTAGTCTGAAGGAGCTGAATGGAGGAGTAGAAGTACAGGGTTCAACACTCTCTGAGGTGGAACTGCAGCTCTGACGTGGCGCTGTGGCTGGAAAGCGTTTTGCACAGCTGAGTGGTTGCCACGGGTGATTAAAGGATTTCTCAAACATGCATGAAGAGAAAAAAACATTGAGGGACTAACATGATGTTGTGACGTAATACTCAGAAAAGTCGATTTTACATAATACTGCCCCTTTAGGGAATAAACACTTATTTATAATCAGTTTTCTTATAAACTGTTTGTTTTCATTAATTATTTGCCATAATCATCAAAACAAACAGTTTATAATCAGTTTATAATCAGTTTTCTTATAAACTGTTTGTTTTCATTAATTATTTGCCATAATCATCAAAACAAAGAGAAAAAAATCTTGAAAAAGATTCTTTAAAAGTATTACAGTGTGTAATAAATGCTTGATATGAGTTTCACTTTATGAATTGAAGAAACAAACTTACGTAAAATTCCAATATATTGATTTGGACCAGTACCGCCTCTCAGTCCTGTGAATCAGAGTTGGATCTTTGGAGCCTCTTCAATTGTATGAGACTTTTAGGTCGACTGTGTCACAGCTGATGCTGTAGGTGCTGCGACTGGTCCACAAAAATGGTTTAACATGTAACAAATATGAAAAGTAATCCAGTGCTAATGTATTTTTCAACTCAAATTTGCATTGTGTCATCAGCGGTCCACTTATCTGATCACTATCTTTTCAGAATTCACTGAATCCTGATCTCATGGTTTAGTGTTTAGTGCCCTCTGTTGGTTGTCCATTTATAGAGCAGAGCCTCCCATGATGACTTCATGTCTTGTCTTTACGTTTCTATTTTTTAATGACTAATTTTTGTATCCATTGTTCATTTTTCTCTGTTGTCCCTCAGCCCCCATTAAGAAGAGTAAGTGATTCATCTGTTGTAGATATAGGTTTAGTTTTAGCACTAGTTAATGTTAATTGAAAAGCTTAAAGATGCAGCAAAAAGGTGAAATGTTTTTTCTTGTTTTAGCCATATTTTCAGTCTCTGTAAATTTGAACCACTGTTTTAAAAAAAAGTAATTGTAACTCTTCTTAAAAGTAATCACTTTCTTTGTTTCATAAACAATAGCTCTTGCACAGCGCCAGAAATTAGACTTCCCAAATTCTTCATTCAAGAGATTCTTTTAATCGAGGTTCAGATGGTCATTTGTGTAGAAAACTGATTTTGATTGCTTCTCTTGTCTTATGTCTCTAGACGACCTTTTTCATTTTTTCACAGACGGAACAGGTTTGTTCTGTGGCGCCGCTAATAGAAGCCCTTAGTGCTGTAGCCGTTTTCGTCTTACGGGATAACCTAGTCACCCCCGCTGATTAGAAACATTTCTAGTAACGTGAAGGCATTGCAAAACCCGATAAGTTCCTCTTGCATTCGTGACCTCGCATGCCCCCATTTTCACTGCAAACTCCTCTGTGAACAGATTTTTATTATTATTATTTCACTTTCATCCCATGAGTTTTAATCTGATACACACAAATATGAATAATAATGTAATTCTGGGTTTGGAGCTTGTAAAAAAAAAATAATTGGCTTAGTGACACTGTGATGAATTAACGGGAAATCTTCGTATTTCAAAAGCCGCTAAATTTTTTGCCTCTGGTTTCAGCTACTTTGGGGATGAGTTTGGGGAATATTTGCATTTGGATTAAGCCCATCAGCATTGATTAATCAGTTGCCTTCTGAAGGATTAATTCTGTCTAAATCAGGATGTAAAGTTGTTTGATGTCTCTTGCACTTCTCACATTGAGAAGCCAAACAGAGGAATTAAAGTGCCTTTTAACAGTGTTTATAGCTTTGCTGTGGTTTAGTCTCTTTTTAGTTTGTCCTTAGGGTCACTTTAGTTTTTCTCTCCTCTACCCTTGCCTCTGTTTTGTCATCTCCCAGCAGAGACCCGCCAAGGTTTTCAGAACTTTTTTAGCATTTTGACATGTAACAAGCACACATTTTGATGGATTTTACTGGAATTTTATGACAAATCAACACAAAGCAGCACATAATTCTAAAGGGAAGGAAAAACGAAGGGTTTCCCAACATTTGCACAAATAAAAACACACAAAAAAAAACCCTTTATATTAAGCAGCCTTGAGTCTATGTGTTGTGGAAACTACCTTTTGCTGCAACTGCATTTTTTTTTTTTTTATTGCAACTAGCTTACTAATCTTTGCATTTTATTGTTATTAATCAATCAGTCAATTAATCAGTCATAAAATAAAATAAAAAATAAATCAAAGTTTGTGGTTACAATGTGAGAAATGTTGAAAAAGTCAAAGAGGTCTGAATGTTTTGTTCTTTAATTATGTCTTTTTACTTTTTCAATCACTCATTTCATGTTTGACTTGCATGGTGCTGATGGTTCCTTCAACCGTGCAGAAGGTAACTTGGTGTTGAATTTCCTCCGACGAAGAAGATTCTTAACTTCAGCTGATGAATACGACAATTAAACACCACATTATGTGCTTCTGTGTTCGCATGTAATACTTTAATCAGTCATGTCGGCATCTTGACGGGGGGAAAAAAATAAAAAATGAGGGAAAACCAGAGCTGGTCATGGCGCTGTAGAAGTATTGATAGTCGGCCACATGATGGATGTTTATCAGTTGGATATGTTACAGTAAATCAAGTGTGTAATGAAACTTGTTTGTTATAATTACAAAAGAATCATTGGTCGTTTCTTGCTACCATTTATTCCTGCCGACATCCCTTAGCTCTGGTTTTCATTCAAAGACTTGAGTATTTTTACATTTAATTTCCTCATTGCTGGTCATTGTTAACACTATTAAGATCAACGCCTTTCAGTTAGATCTACTAACTTGACTGAATTGAGTTTTGGAGGCAATAAAATGACATCTCTAAATTCTAATCTATGCAAAAAGCTTGCTGTTTAATAGTATCAAGTTGTACAAAATCAGGTTGCAGTAATTCATTTTTTTCCCTAAATAATAACCAACTGGTGTAGCAGTTAGGTTGTATGTTATGAAATGTAAGATGATAGGATTAGCTACATACTGCAGCTTTAAGGAAGCTGCAGTATGTAGCTTCCTTAAAGCTACATACTGCAGGATGAGTATTTCATCCTAGCTGGTCCCTTAGCATTCTTCATGCCAGCTGACGGTCACTCAGCAACAGCAGCAGCAGCTCAGATGAATCAAATAAGCATGTGGTTGTGTGTCATTTGCCAATTAGTGCAACCTGACAGCATCTTGGGACAAGTGATTAAAGGTCAACTGAATAAAAGAGGACCAGAGCAGGAAGAATGGCTAGTTTTAAACTTTGAATTTAACGGTCAGCTAACAATTGCCTCTGACTTTGCTTACAATCAAATTTCATACGATGTGCAGTTAAATTATCGAGTTTTGAAATAATCTTTGTGTTGCTCTTGTGTACCTTTAGGAAATCCTAATCCTCCTAAGCTTGAAGGGTCAGTGGAGCCTAAAGGCAACTCCCTCAAAGTCAGCTGGATTAAGCAGGATGATGGCGGCTCTCCCATCCTGCATTATCTTATCCGCTATAAACCCGTGAGTTAACAATTCATTCATGTTGAGTGTTAAAAAAATACCTCCAGTGTGCATCTCTGGGGAAAATACATTTCCAGCATAATTATGCTTTTAAGCAAATATCCATCCACGCCACCTTTCTTGCGGCATCTCCAGGTTAATATACAATTCTGCTTTCTATTACATCAACAGCTTTTTTTCTTCTTCTTCTGAAGTTTACGCTTTGCTGCCTTGAAAGCATGTCGTTTATGTCTGTCTCTGTCCTCAGATCCAGACGTCACAGTGGAAGCCTGAGATCCGGATGCCCAGTGGCAGCGATTACGTCGTGCTGCGTGGATTGGACTGGGACACGGAGTACGACGTGTATGTGGTGGCCGAGAACCTGAAGGGGAAGTCTCCGCCCGCCACCATGTCCTTCAGAACATCTGCAGAGCCAGAGGCCTTCCCAGGTATGCGACGTCTAACTGCTCTCAGTAAACCAACAGGGTGAAACACGGGAGCCAAACTCAAAGCTGAAAAATGAGTGTTGCGGTCTATTCTTTAATTTAACTCACATTAGTAAAGAGAAAAATAGTGTTGAGAAAAAGTATGTGCATCTTTACAGATTATTTTTTATTTATTTTCATTTTGTTTTCTGTCACACTTAAATGTCTCAGATCATCATTTAAAGCTTTAAATCAGATAAGGATACAAAATGCAGAAATACAGTTTTCTAATTATGTAATTCATCAAGGGAAAGAAAGCTCTTCAAATTTATGTAAAAAATATAATTTCTCTGCGGAATTGTTGTAATTTAGCTAATTGGAGTGTTTCAGAGTGGAGTTTAGATGTTCTGACCTGGAATTTGGGCCAGAATTATCTGCTTGATGGTTGGGTCGGGCTCAGGCTTTTGTGGTGCGTTTAATAAACCTCTGATACATACAGCTCAGAGAAAGCTAAATGAGAATCCACGATATAAAGTTGTGGTAATCTACTTACAGTGAGAGTAGAAGAGTAGAGAGTTTAATATGTTGAGGAAAAAGTAAGCAGACTTAAACAAGTGCAGCGCACCGCATGCGGCTCTGCTCAAGCAGCGGCGCAGATAGGATCCTATCAACCACACATCCCAGATGATTTACACCTGACTCACCCTGTGGTTAAGATGGAGCAGGAAGACGATAAAATCTAAAAACAAAAGAAAACGAAACTCTTAAAAACATGTCAGGTTTCAGGCCCTTAAATTAAAGTTAATTAGTTGGGTTAGATCCAATCTAAACTAGTAGGAATCTAAACTAAAGTCTAAACTAAAGTAGGAACTTTGGATCGTTGTTCTGCTGCGTAACCCAAGAATCCTTTAGGCTAAAGTTATAACCTGATGGCCAAATATTCATCAGGATTTCAGGATTTTGTCAATTCCTGCAAATTGTCCAGACCCTGAAGCAGCAAAGCTGCCCCAGACAGCCATGCTACCACACAGAGCCAGGTTGGGCTGCATAACCTTCTCCTATTCTATTAATACATTAAATAAAGAGCTGAAAACTGCTTTCTGGGTTGTTTTTTGTTGTTGTTTTTTGGATGCATCTTTGTCTGAAACTTGATGATCTGAAACATCTAGGAGTGGCAGAAAAACAAAAACTCTTTAGGAGGTGAAATACTTTCTCATAGCTGGTATAAATGTCCAAGTTGGATAAAAAAGATGTTTTTATTTGTTGTTTTTGAAAACCATGGCTGAATAAGCTTGAGTTTGTGTTTCACAGGAGGACGACTTCCTCCAATCCTGTTTTTCCCCCTTTAACCTGTGTATAATTTTAACCAAGTAGATGAAATAGTTTCCCTCTGAGAGGAATCTTTTGAATGACTCTTAATTAACATGTTCAGTGAGGTCCTAACTGCAGCTGAAGCAGCTTGTTACTAACGGTAGAAAACCCACACAGCCTGTCAAATTCCCTTTAAGTGCTAGACCCTGTCGAGCGCTTCGCTGAAGTATCGCAGCAGGCCATTATGTCTTCCTCTCACTTTTTTTTCTAATTTATTTCCCAAACTAAAGCTTTTTCCACTCACTGCCACTGAGTCACCCATCCAGTCAACACAGTGTGCTCCCCCCCCCCTTTGTGATGTGCTTTTGCTTTGATGTGTTGCTGCTTCTTTTTTTTTCCTCCCTCAAATGTGAGAAATCATTTTTCTTAATTTTTTTTTCACCTTTGGTTTTCAGAACTGAAACATTTTTTTCACGCTCTCTCTCTCTCTTTCTCTGTTTTCCCCCACCTTCTCTTTATTTCCTGTTTATTTTGCTTTTATTTCCTCCTCTTATTTTCTTTTTCTCTCTTTTCATCTCCTCGCTCATTGTTCCTGCTCTCTCTCCTGATCCTGGATATTCGTGTGGTGGGCCCACGTGAACATTTTCGTCCCGACCTGTGTGCGTTTTGGTCTGGTTTGTGCTGTCTCGACCCACAGCCACTCAGGGCAGCTCATCTGTGACATACACTTTGGTACTACTCATCTCGCCCCTTGTCATTGCACTTCTGCTGACGTAGTTTATGTTTGGGATCTACATCGTAGCGTCGGAGGAGAGCCTGCCTTTTCTCTGGCCTGGCTTTCTTTCTTTCTGGACGCTTTTAGCCACTATAGCGGACTTCCTCCATGACCGATGCGCCTCTGTCATGGTGGCGAGAAGGCTGTTGTGTGGTTTCAGAACAGACCAGACAGACTTAATGAACCAAAGGCAGTGGAAAACCTTCGCCTCCCACAGATTCACTCTGCTCAGCATTAGCACAGCTAGCCATCAGCACTTGACAGAGAGGATTCCCAGTTTACAATTATGAACAGATGTGGAGTTAAAATAATATATATTTTTTTTAACAAAGCAAAACATAGCACTTAGAATCGAGTGAGCACCGAGTACTGAACCTGTCTGTTTACATAAACACTGTATAATGTTGTGTTTCATAAAATTGTACTCTAGAGGTTTGGAACAATAACACTGACAATGCCGGGGCGCGGGGACTCAAATATTTGTATTGTTTATATTGGCAAAGATTCACAAAATGTTTACTGAAATATTAGAGAACATTTATTTTTGTGCAGATTAATAAGATTTTTTCTGTTGTGCAAGTGTTTTTAATCTGATGTCCACAGAAGTTACATCATGTTTTTTATATATTTATATGTGGAAGGTGCTTCATTCAGCTGTAGTGCTGTGAAAAAGTATTTGCCCCCTAACAGATTTATTCAGTTTTATTCATTTTGCCATATGTATATTTTTGGATAATAAAAGCTACCGACCCTTTTGGAAAAGTAACTGACACGTTTGCTAAATCATAGATTAACTATGATTAAATTTTATGGAGAGCCATGTTCAAATTCACTAACTTTGTCCGTGTCCGACCTGTAGAATCCAGGAATAACCTAAACAGAACCTAGGCTCTACTTTTTTGCAGCACTGCATGTTTTATAGCCTGGCAGACATATTTACTTTGGGCATGGGTCTGGTTTAGGGAATTTTTGTAAAAAAGACAAGGTTGTGCACTAAAATACATATTTCACAGGCAGCAAGTTTTTCTTATTTTTTTATTTTTATTTATTTATTTTTTTTTAACGAACTGATCATTCAAACATCTTTTTTCAAACAGAAATATTTGAATCAGTCAAAAAAATTATTCTGCCATGGAGAGCATGTTAACTATTTGATAGGATAAAAATTTTGGACAATATCAGTTATTGCAGATAACCTCCCACAATCCTTTGCTGCATCACTATCACATAACCAACACCCCACAGAAACAAACAACAACAATAATGAATATTAGTTAAAATTGGCCTGGTTTTATGTCAGATATACTAAAACATTCCTATGCTGCTGCTAGTGCTGATATTTCATGCACTCTTACTCTTTGAGATTGGTCAAATTACTGGTCTGGATTAAGCAAAGCAAGCAAACAGCCGTTTACACTTTTTGTACTGAATTAATCTTTTGCTATTGTGCAGAATCAAAAATATGTGAATCGCAGTGGTGAAATGTTGCATAGGTAGCAATCTTAATTACTTTTGATGATTCTGAGAAAAGGATTCATTAAAAAAAAGAAAGAAAGAAACCCCTCGCCGTACCACTTCTATGGTTTGAAGCACTTACTATGGTCGACATTGCCAGAGTTCTCTTGATCTGTATGGGATATAAAGTAAAGCAGCTCAGCTCCTCCCCCACATGTTGTTGTGCAGTGTCAATAAAACAAGTTTAAAGAAAGCATTTGGAAATACATCAGGTGGGAATTTAACATGACAAATTAAGCAGCAAACAGTTTATAGCAACGTTCCGCACAATAATCATATATCACTATATTTATGAGGCTCTTATTCTATACCTACAGTTAAATCTGTGCATCACAACAAAAACACAAATATCATAGATAACATAAGTGTAATCAATTGTCTATTATTTCAGCAGTAATAGTAATAGTTGTTTCAGTTCTGTTTTACATATGTTATTATATCTAGATAACTTTTGGTTTCAAAACCATGTCACAAATTTTTACTGCAACTTGTCACATGAAAACTGCATACCGACCCATGCCTAATTTAGCCAATAATCTGTATAATCAAAATTTAATTCATGCAATAAACCCCACTCATATAAAACATTAAGTCGTCTGCAAAAAATAAAAGATTGCAGATATTCAAAATAACATGTTTGTGTATGTGAGAAAGCAGGTTTCTCCAAGCAGAACACTACGTTGTGCAGGGTCTTAGTTGCTTTAATTGTCAGTAGTCATAATGTTATGGCTGATCGATGTACATATTAAAATATTGCATTAGAAGTCCATGACAACTAAAGATAGTTTTAGATCAAGAGTAAAGATTCAGCAGGTTTTTCTTTTTTTGGAAATGGAAATGTTGACCCGCATGTAACCAGCAACACTGTAAACTTTGGTTTGCTTGTGTTTCTAATATCAAATAAATTGCTTGAAAATAAAAACATGTATATAATTTTGTCCCCTTAAATCCGATCTTTTCATATGAAATACACATTCATCATGATTAACATTAGAGGAGTATTTAAACAGCTCACACACTGCTGACTCATGTTCAGAATCAGTTCAAGGCAACTTGTCGGTAACCACTCCTCAGCAGGTACGTTCTTTATTTTCATACAAGTATTTAAAGCTCCTGTAGCTTTGCAGCACTTTAATTTGGTGGTTTATGTTGTTGTGCGTCTCGCTCCAGTTTCTCACTGCTCTGCGTTGTGTCTCCTGTCTGGCAGATCTGGGTGATGAGGGCCCGTTCTTCATGAACATCATACTCTGGGCAGGGATCCTTGTTGTAGTATTTGTACTCCTGCTGCTAGCAGTGGATGTCACTTGTTACTTTGTCAACAAATGTGGCCTTATCATGTGCCTGTGTGGAAAATCAGGCACAGGGACGAAAGGGCACGTGTTGGAAGAGGCCAAAGCTGCTTTCGTGTGAGTATGAAAGATCACATTTAAGTTTTTTTCACAAATTTGTTATAACATCCCAGCTCTGAGCGAGAGAAAATTTATGAACCAGCTGTTTTTTATCCAGATACTGTGTTTATATTTTTAACTAAGTTCACATTGATAAGTTGTAAAATTGTACTTAATTTGTGTACATTTATGAAGTAATTTAATTAGGTATTTATATTTTATATTTGAAAGTGTCTTTGATTAGTAATGGATGACTTCCTGTTGACCTAGTGTATGTGTATATGACACAGATGCCCTTTTCTATTACATTTAGCATCTTATTGATTTGTTCTACAAGGCCTTTCCAAAATAAGAAATAAAAATTCAAACGGTGTAAAATCACAACGGTAACAAGCTGCTAATATACCCGTACTACCTTAACTAGCTTGCGTTTTTGCGTCCATCAAGCATGACTACAAGTTTATTGCCAAACAGAACTCAACCATCTACATACAAAATGCTGAATAATTAACATTCAAATGATATCTAAATAACCATTTTTCCTCTAACAAAGCAAAACGTACACATGTGCAATAACAGAATTGGAAAGCCTAGATTCACAGCTCTCATTGCATCTTCTCACACTACGACAGTAAAATGAAATGTTGGTCAGCACATCATGTGCTGCCATTGTAATAACGCCGTCCTCTCGATCTCATAGGAAAGACGAGTCCAAAGAGCCCATAGTGGAAGTCCGAACGGAGGATGAGTGCACAGCCAATCACAACGCAGCCGGACCGATAGAGCCCAACGAAACTACACCTCTCACAAAGCCAGAGTGAGTAAATAACAGACAAATAGCACTCAGCAACTTTTACGCAAAGGTTTTCTTAACTGTCCGACATTGCACTCCACTTTAAAGAATCGTCTTATTTAACAACACTTAATTCGCCTTTTCAATCTGTGGAAAAGTTCAGTTTATTCTTGAGTGGAGTCCACTGGATTGTGTTGCTTTTCCTTTCCTCCTCCCGGTCAAAGGGGATTACCGTACTTTGTGTTTCTGCTCCAGCTCTGGAGATTTTCTGTCTCATTATGTGAAGGTTGAAGCAATACCAGTAAAAGACACAAAAAGGCTTTTTTTTCTCTCCCAAGTGTGGTCAATTCATAAAGCCATTCGACAGCCTCAGCCAGCCATCTCATACCAGAAGTATGGAAGAAAAAGCAAAAAACTGTAGAAAAATGCAGAGCAAGATTGTCACTGGTACTGTTTAACCCTTAAAGGTGGTTCAGTGTGGTGCTGTAGTTCACCTTAAGAAGATTGGTGCCTTTTAAGTACATTAGTTGAGTAGTCAGTGTACTCCATGTTGGTGTGTGTATGGGATGTATCCTTTAATGTTCACTCACAGCATGATGCCCCTTTTTTCTTTTTTGTTTCTTGCTAAGCTTAATAGTTGCTGTTTTTCAGTTGCTTTTGTCTCTGTTTGTGTGACTTTCTGAAGCCAACTAATCCCTCTGCATGCTCTCGTTCGGGTCACCCCTCCTCTTGTCACAGTCACCCTGGTGTCTAGTCTGTGTGTCTCTGTTCTCTCCCTGCTCTCTCAGGCTGGTGGCTTCTCTGGCACTGGACACCCCCTCCTCCGTAGCCACCAACTCAGACACAGCCACCGCGACCATTGATCCTGCTCAGGAAAGCCCCTCTAGCGAGACCACCACACTCACATGCAGCCTGTCCACCCTGGCCAACGAGCCCTCGCCCACCCCCCTCACCGCTCCGGCCCCGACCCCCGAGTCCAACACGGCCCCTCCGACCCCCGTGGTCTCCTCGACCGCCGTTGAAGCCAAAATGGCACCGTTGCTCGAGGAGAGGGGGCATAAGACCTTGGAAGAGCCGGAGAAGATGAGCAATCCTCCTACCACCCCCGAACAGTGTAGACCTCAAAAGTCCGGAACGCCAATACCGCCAAAGCGCAGACACTCTCCCAAACTCGCTGCTCTGAATGCTAAAAACAGTCCGCCGGTTTCCCCTCTCGCCGTGTCTTCTCCTCCTCTCATTCCAGATGGCAAGAAACCTGCACCGAGCCCACCGGTCAACAAGCCCACTCCACGGGCCAACGCCGTTGCCTTAAGCAAAGAGACACCGGTGCAAACTGCTGCCTCTACAGCGAACACTGCCCTCCCAAAACCAGACCCGGAGTCTAAACCTGGGCTTCCAGATTCTACCGCATACACCTTTACTGACTTTGACACAGATAATCCAACCAGTAACAACATCCCCACACCAAAACCCGCGCCGATTTACGCTTCTTCAGATATCCCCAATGCCGTCGAAGATCCACAACTCAAAAATCCCGTCACTCTATTGGCAGACATCCCCTCGCCTTTACCCATCACCGCAATCGCTTCAGCAGTCCCGAACGACCTCCTGACGCCGGGGTCAGACCTGTACGACTTAACGGCTCCGGACGGAGTGCACAAAAATGCAGATTTAGAGTTAGAGCTGAGAAACGGCGCAGGAAGGCCCTCCCGGCCCCTCTCTGACCTGATTAGCTTAGAGAGCCCGTCCGCCGCCCCCTCTCTGCCCAGCGGAGACCAAGCAGACTTCCCTCCCTCAGGCCCAGTTCTGGAGGCTTCAGAGACTCTCAAGACCGCTCCTCCTGTCAACGATGAGTACGGCTCCCTCTAGAGGTTTATCTGTGTGCGTGTGTCGTTCGTGTGAGAGTGCGTGTAACTTGTATGCTCATTCATTCACCACCGCATCTTGCCATTGACCACACAATATCAGATATTGCAATGGTAAACTGTGGTAATGACATTGGGGGTGAATTTTAATTGTTAGTGGAATGTTGCAGATAGAAGTGATCTGATGGTTGTCATTTTCTTTGCCTGTGTGTGACAGTTATTCAATGTGGGGTTTGGAAACAAAACATTAAGAGTATTTGAGCAAGTTTTTAGAAATGCAAGTTGTCAAAGGGGCAGTTTTATGTAAAATCAGCTTTTGGCTTTACATCATGTTATAATGTTATTGCCTCATCAAAAACATGCCTGGAGTGTCGCCTTGATTCTGTCATGCATGTTTGACAGATTATTTAATTTGCCGTGGCGACCATTCAGCTGTGCAAAACGGCCTGGATGGACCTAGCGCGGCCTTTGAGACACATTCCGCCTCATGGAGCACCCATTCCCTGTGATTCCCCCACTCAGCTCCTTCAGACTAGCCAGTAGCAATTAGCAAACACCTGGCGGAACTGCGCATCTGCCGAGCTCATTATACGAGCCACTTCTCAATAAAACGCTGGTAAGAATCTTAAATGCTTAATAGAGGAGCGATGTTGTGATGACTTCTGAGTTTCAGAAAGAGCAGGAGTTTTTAAAGCAACAGACGCCCAATTTCAAGGCGATAAATTACAAAGTAAAATTTGTTTTGTCATATTTGATATATATAGCATTTTTTTAACAACTTATCAGTTACTTGATCGTACCATAAAATGGCACTATGTGCCTGGAAACCACGTAAAGCTGCCCCTTTAACTAAGCTCAATCTGGGTATACACATCCAGTTTTAAACAAAGTTAAAAAAGGATTCAGTTATGTTTATTAGCACATCCAGAGCCTAAATCACATGTGTGCGTTCAAAGCTGAGGCCCACAGTGATGTGACTCCACACATCAAAATCTGGAACTCATTAATTTAATTTAAGGATGGTAGACATCGTTACTGACTAATTTACAAACTAGCAGCAGGCTTTACCTCTTCAAATACCTCTAGTTTACTCTGAGGTCAGGAAATCGTGGGTTTAATTTGCTTTGAACAATTTTATTGTGCATTTTTGTTTTTCACACACACACAAAAAAAAAGTCAGAACAGCAAAAAAAAAAAAAAAATCCCAAGAGATTTCAAAGTAAATAAGAACCCAATGACAATAATGAAAAGTAAAACAAGCTTAAAAAAATGCCATTTCAGCTAAACACAGCATATTGTATGCAACAAATATCAATACATATAAAGCACTGTCCCCAATTACAGTGTTTAAGCATCTGGTTTGTTTTTCTTTAAAATAAAAATCTAGATTTTAGGTCATTTTCAACAGGGGTCACAATTAATTCAATATTACTGATTCACATTAATTATATTAATTAGCAAAAGTGATAACATAAAAAAATTGAATTTAATTTAGAAACAAATCACAAAACTTGACTTATCTATATTTATTTGCTTTTAAAAAATGTTAAGAATTACAGGGTTCCTACAAGGTTTAAAACGAAACGTATGTTTTAAAGCAAACAAGGATTTTTAGAGTCCAAGTGTGGCAAAGCTGACGCTGTCTGGAAATTATACAGTTGTTTGTCCCAGACCTTTCTCCTCATTTATTTTGGGAGCTACAAAAATATCAGCCGCCCGCAAAAAGTGCTGTAATTTTCAGAGCGATTACACAAAATGGATAGTGTGACATCTGAGAACGTCTGCCTGCTGCGATTCATTTTGATGAGATTTAAAGATCACAGGTTATCTACGGTGTACCTGGAAAGGATTCACAGCATCTGTGTTGTTACAGCCTTACTCCAAATTGCATGAAATGCATCTCTTTCTTCAAACTTCTACATAGATATACTTAAATATGAAAATGTGGGGAAAGATTTTTGTAGCGTTTGGCCAATTCCTTGAAGCTAAAATGTTGCAGTTATTCACAGCCTGCATCATGAACGGTGTGTTTCTGCGGATGGCAGGAATGCCACAGGGAGGAACTAGAGGAGATTGATATTTTTCACAGATTGTCTCGTTTTGCACAATTTTGCCAAATATGGAAAAATCTTTTAATAAAAGTAGCTTTAAGAGCTGCAAATAACAGCATTCAACATATTTAAAATATATCATCATTCAAATATTGGAGATTATTTTTTAATGAATATTGACTTTTACATGAACTCAACTTAATGCTTCTTCTCTAGATTTTCCAACTCTAAAATGATTAAAAAACAAAAAAACTGCAACTAACATGAATATAAGAGATGTAATTTATATACATAAAACAGGCAATGTGTATGCGTGTAGAAAAAAATAAAACAAATCAAAGCAAATATTACCTTTTTCTAAAAAAAAAAAAAAAAAAAAAAAAAAAAAATTTTTAAAAAAAAAAGGGTGCTTTTTAAAAACCAGGGGCTCGTCGATAAGAAAACAAACTTAAAAATAAA